CTTTTCTAGAAATGAAATAAGCTGACTCTGAGGCTTTTAAATTCTGAATTCTGGTTCATTTTAACTGAGTTATTTTGGAAGTCCAGAGGTCTTAATTGTCTCCTTTGTCTAAGAGATGATAAGCTTAAATCAAACTATTCACTTTCTGATAGTCCTGTGGCTCCCTTGGCTGTCTAGCTAGGAACTCCCTTAGCAAGCCAACTACCCCTCTGATAAATAGGAAATCTACAAATAATTCGCAATGACTTTGAGTGAGTACAACTAGGAGTTATCAGACAACCGAGATACTCTAAAAGTGACCTATGGAAAAAGTAAATTCAAAATATGCCTACTTTCTGGCTTTCTTTCAGATTATTTTAAGATTATATTGCATCTTTTGTTATATTTTTAGTTGCTTAGCTCTTTTACTCTATAGTTAATATTGTTATTGCTCTATTAAGAAATACTACTTTTAGCCTTCTGATTTCATTCATATTTTGGCAAATTGACATTCTGTCAAATGGCACAAGAACTGTATCAACCATACTGAATAATATCCTTTCCTTCATGCTGAGCACTTTAAATGTCTTTTCTCATATAATTCTCAAGACAACTTAAGAAGTAGGTGCTTTTATTATCTCCATTATTCAGATAGGGAAACTTTGCCCCAGAGAGGTTAAACGCCTGTCCCAGAGTTACACATCAACACCACAGAGTAGCTCTGATTATGGGTTGGGTTCAAGAGGTTATGGTATTTCGATTTATTCCTAATATGCTGCTTATATCCCAATATACTGCTTAAAAAGATGACTACTACTGCCATCTGCTGGTGGCTAGCAGAATTGATGTGCTTCTGCTCAGGTTGCACTACAAGCAGTAATGATTTTGATACACATTCATGCCATCTATCATGCTAGTGTCTAGAACAGTGCCTGACACATAATAGGCTTTCAAAGTCTGTGAAATGAATGAATGGGAGATCCCAGGAGAATTTTTGTTGGTGAAAGTTCTCAAGTTGTTTTTTTAACTCCACAAATAACTAAATCCAGAAAGATATGGAAGCTACCTCACACAAGGCAATGATAACATTTTAGAATATTTACTCCATCAACTGTACCAGTTTTGGATTTATATACACACTTTGCATTTCACTGCTTTAACCTAGTTTATAAGCTGAGTCTCACTCTTATGTTTAAGTCTATCATTTATACTGCATAGATTTCAGAAAGAATCTTAGTTTTAGAACTAAAAAAAAAAACTGAGAAATACTGGCTAATGTTTCCCAATCCTATTTCAACAGATGGTGTTAAAAAAGGTTTTATAAAAAAAGATGTTTCACAAACAATGCAGTAAATGAAGTTCTGTAAGTTTCTTCATTGTAGAACTGGAGTGATTATATTAATATTAAACAAAACAGTTCTCAAGACAGGGAGTATTACTAGAGACAAGAGGAAGTATTCATAATAACAAAAAGGTCAATGCTTCAGTGAAATATAACAATAATACATGTATATGTGCCAAATAACAGAACATCAAAATACATGAAGCAAAAATCTGACAAAACTGAGGTCAGGAATAGACAAATCCACAATCATTGTTGGGGATTAAACATATCTCCCCTAATAATTAACAGAACAATAAGCAAAACAGCAGTAGCAATGAGTGAAACGAAAATATATGAATGTGTTAGGGTTCCCTAGACAAACAGAAACAAAAGGATATATATGTCCTATATATCTATATGTCAATATCTATATGAATGTGTGGGTGTATACATACATATTATAGGAATTGACTCATGTAATTATGGAGACCAAGAAGTCCCACAGTCTGCTGTCTGCAAGCTGGAGGACCAGGAAGGCCAGTGGTATGATTTAGTCTGCGTCCCAAGGCCCAAGAATTAGCGGTGGGATGAGGATCAGTGGCGTAAATCCAGGTCCAGCTCTGAGGGTCCTAGCACTAAGAGTGCCGATGTCTGAGGGCAGGACAAGATGGATGTCTCAGCTCAAACAAAGAGAGCAAATTCACCCTTCCTTCACCTTTTTGTACTATCCAGCCTCAGCAAATTAGATGAGGACCATGTGCTTTGCTGAGGATGATCTTTAAGCAGTCTCCTGATTTAGATACTAATCTCTTTCAGAAAAACCCTCACAGACACAGCCATTTGGAAATCCCTTAGCCCAGTCAAGTTATCACATAAAATTAACCATCACAGTGGGTTGACTTTTCCTCTCTCCATATTTCCCCTAATCTCTCTTTAACCAATAGGTTCTAGAAGGCATGGTTCCTGAAGAAGGTGAGAACCACTTGGCTTCGTCCATGCTTCCCAAAACTATAATTACTTCTGAGATTCTGTGTCACTTAGAATATTTTCAGTGACAGGTAATGAAAGCTTAATTCAAACTGTATTACACAACAAAAGGAACTTATTCCTTCAGGTGTGGATCAATCAGGGTTACATTTCTCTTGAATTTTTTCAGTTTTCTCTTCTTCGTGTGTTGGATTCATTCTGAGGCTAGTATCCTATATGGTGGCACAGTATCAATAACAGTTCTAATTTTACATTCCAAGCTAAGCAGAAAGAAAGAAATGTGTTCCAGAAGTGCCCGCAAAAGTCCTGAAATTCACTGTTGGCTCAGACCATAGGTTCATCTCTGATCTAATCACTGCAGTCACTGTAGTAGAATGTCCTCTTTGGCCCAATACATGTCATTTGTTTCATCCCTGAAGTAGGATAGTTGGGAATAGATGGAAGCAAAGTGGAGACTGTTGGAAAAGGTTAAGCGGGGCATGGAAATGTGGCAGCCAACCAACAGATGACCATTGTAGTGCTTGACATAGACACACACACACACACACACACACACACACACACACACACACACACCAGCAGCAACTGAAAGCTTAATCACACAAATGAACATAAATGATTTACAGAGTATGTTAGAGCAATAGATTCATATAGAAGACAAGAATTTTGTTAAACTACAAAACTATCGTTTAGTAAACCAAAAAGGATAAATAATATATAACATTGTGATGGTTTTTCTTTTATCTTTCTTGAGAAGGTTTTGAATGAAAAAGAGCACTGACTCTTTTGCACTTTAAGGCTTAAGCATTTGAGATTTTTTTCTTGTTTTCTTGACTACACTCATATCAGATTTTAAACCAAGACTTTAAAATTGTTGTTAATATTCTAAGAATGTTCCACAGTTATGACTATATAAGAATTACTGCACTTGGCATTCTGCTCCTTAGTTTCCATCTTTGTTTGATTAATGTTCATGTTGTAATGTTGCCACGATTACAACAATGGAGGGTTGGCAGACACCCTCTGTGAGTGTAAAAGGAAAATTAAAGTATGAAGAAAATGTGTGGTAAAGGGGAAAGAGCTTGGTGAGCAGTGGATGATAAGTTCTCCAAGTAAAAGCTAACTGAATATAAAAGTTGGAATTACTGAGCTGGAAAGGATCTCAAAAGGTCATCTGGTCCAGTCTGACTTCTAAGCAACGCATTAAAATTATTCAAGACTAAGAGTTAATTGTATTCTGTGTAGCAATCTTTTTTTTTTTTTTTTGTCCTTAAAAAAGTGATCAAACAGTAAGGAAAAGCCCAATTAATTCTTAATTCAAAGTTTATCATATTTTGCTGTTCTGAAATATTTTTGAAAAGATTTTTAAATTCCAACTTCCTACCAAATAGGAAGCAGTTGTTCCAAAATACATATTTTACTGTTTGCTCTGCCAGTGAATATGAGGCAATAATTTCTTTATTACCACAAAAGCCAAGGGGAGCCCATGGAATTAGGATCAAACTAGTAATCGGGCTTTTCTGAGACTGTGGGGGACAATTTGTTCTTTAGTTTCCCGGGGATTATTAAGCACACAAACTAACCAAAGTGCTTAAAAAATACCTTAATTATATTTATAAAGTGTCACATACTTCACGAAAGTGTATTACTCTTTTCTGCATACGCTATTGATTTATATATAATTAAAATTATGATAGTAATATAAATTTTGTACAACACTATTTGAACCAGCAACTAAATTTCCACTTCTAAAAGTTTACCCTGAAAAAATAATCATAGGTGGAAGCAAAGACTTATATACAAATGTTTATTGGAATATCTTTTTTTTGAGGAGTTAAGCGTCAATTTTATTGGGCTCAGACCAGGAGTCCATGGGTCTTGAGGACCTCTGTGTACCTGTCAATTTTCTTCTCCACATTCTTTTCAGCCTGTTTCTGTAGCCTCATGAGCTGCTTTCTCTTGCGGTAATGGATCTTGGCCTTCTTCCTC